GAATTATGCTAAGAGCATATCCTTCTTATCTCATTTCACTCGCTTGATCTGTTCGTATGGCGCCATTTTCGTGTTTTCAAAAACTTAATCACGTCGGCTGCTTAATTTATTCGTAATATATGTAATGCATAAAATATGATTTGTTTGTAACTTTTAAACTTTTTGTACTTTTATATGTGTCACGTGTAATATGTACAATACATTTAAATATACTTAATTCATTTTTAATAAGTGTGTAATAAATGTGATACATTTGAAAGTATTGAATTAAATAGAAATTTGATAACGAACTGTTATTAAATGTATTGGTACTGGATAATAATAAATGTTAATAAATAATAATCGGTTATTAAATCTATGGTTAAATAATGATATTATTACTAGATTATTAATAATTATATATAATATTATAAAATTATAATAAATGATGTTAAATGACAAATTATTTTATAATTAATTATTATTATTAATAATAATAAATGTTATAATGCAACATACTCTTACTCAATTACATAAAATCAATATAAAATATATATTGTACAAACAATAAATAATAAATGACATCAATAATACTAAAAATTAAAAGGAATAAAAAGTAATAATTACACTAAAAAATTAAATGTAATAAACAGTAATAATACTATTAACAATAGTATTATTATATATAATAATAATAATATTAATAACACTACAAGGTGAAAATAATGAACAATACTAATACTGAAAATTTTAATTAATAAACAGTAAAAATGGTACTAGTAATGAGAAATAACAAACAATAATAGCAATACCAAATGTTGAAAATAACGAAGAACAATAACAGCACCAAAAATTAAAAATAACAAACAATACCAATACTAACATTAAAAATATCAAAAAATAAAAATAACAAACAATAATGATAATAATCCAAGAAATTAAAAATAACAAACTAAAGCAAAGAACTGTACTCCCAGATGTTCCCAGAAAAAGATAGTTAAAAAAAGGTAGACGTAATGGCAAAACTGGTTGTCTCAGTTACGAAGTATAATCAGCTAATCGCGAATAAGGGAGTTAGGATGTTAAGAGTGGCGCGTAAAACCTCGGTTACGATACGGAATAAGCTCTAGCGTAGTCCAGTTATGGTCAAGGCTCGGAAAACCACGAATTTCGCGAGAAAAGACCTATAGATAATTGCGAAAGATCGTTGGATTCCGCGAAAAAGACACGCCGAAACGGGAACGCGTAATAAACCGACGCATTGATTTTCAATCCTGGCTTGTGGCCTTCCACGAGTCTGATCGTAAATTGCCTTTCGACCTCGGTATGTCGAACAAATTGGACCAAAGTTACTTCTCTCGGTATTATATACCGGTCTGTTTTATTACTCTCTTCGTTTATTACACGAGTATTACGTGCAACAATGAATTCATTTTTTAATCAATCAGATTATTTCAACAAAAAACTTCCAATTTACAAAAGTTGGGATCTCGAAGTGTTTTAGTGTACAAGTGAAGGTGCTCTGAAATTTTTTATTTTGAAAATTTGGAATTGCCATGCGCGATACGTCGCTGTGTAGAAACAATGTGAAATTGCTATAGGTAGAATAGCGTGGGATTATTAATCGTGGAATTGCCGCGTGTGGAACTGATTTATTATATTACAATACATGGAATGACTATGTGATATATCACCATGCATGGAATTGTTATACAGTCGTATAAACACGGTCAGAATTACTATGTGTCATATTACGACACATAAAGTTGCCACGTGTTATATCACCGATTGTGCACTTACTATACAGCAGCTAATGCTATATGATATATCACCATGCCTGGAAGTGTTACGTATACCACTGCTCGTGGAACTGTTATACAGCTTCATAATCGAGTTTGGAATTGCTATGCGTTACATTACCACGCATGGAATTGCCTCGCATTATATCGCCGCGCACAGAATTATTCCGCGTGGAATTGCTACTATAATGCATTATATAACCACCCATGGAATTTCTATGAGTTACATTATCGTCCATGGAATTGCCACGCGTTATATCGCCGCGCGTTGCATTTACACGCTTGAAATTACAACGCGTTATATCACCGTGTGTGAAATTGCCACGCGTGGAATTGCCATATACGGAATTGCCACGCGTGGAATTGCCATATATGGAATTGTCACACAGGGAATTGCCACATATGGAATTTTGAAACGTGGAATTGTTATATATGGAATTGTCACGCGTGGAATTGCTGTGCATGGAATTGCCACGCGCGGAATTGCTATGCATGGAATTGCCACGCGTGGAATTGCTATATATGGAATTGTCGCGCCTGGAATTGCTGCGCGTGATATTGCCACGCATGGAATTGCTATGCGTGGAATTTTAATGCGTTATATTACCACAGGTGGAATTGTCACGCGTTGTATCGCTGTGTGTAGAATTCATACGCGTGGAATTGCCATGCTTTATATCACCATGTGTGGAATTGCTATATGCGTTGTATTATGATGGATGGAGTTATTGCGCGTTATATCACCACGCGTAGAATTGCAATGCGTGGAATTGCTATGCGCTGTATTACCGCGAATGGAATTGCTATTCGTGAAGTTGCTATTCGTTATATCATCATCCATCGAATTACTATGCATAGAATTGCTGCGCATTGTACCACGAACGTTGTTCGTTTCGAATAAAATAGTTATTATACAATTATAAAAATTGCAACAGAATATTTGCTATTAAAATAATAAATAAATAATATCCACCTTTACTCCAAATATATATATATACATATATATATTTTCTAATTATACATTTCCTAAATTTTCTAAATTCTTTTTCGCCAAATTTATTTCACATCATATCTTTCATAGATTTCCAAATATAGTAGGCGTATAATTTTCTAAATTTTCGCTTGATTGAACTAACTCAACGTCTCCCCCTTCTATAGGATGCTGAAAGGGACACTTCTATTCATTTATAGTCAACGACCAAGGGTGTTCGTTTTCACAGGTATTCAAAAGCATCCCAGTTCATTGGAAGCCCTTAAACGCGCATAAATTGTCAGAACGTGGAAACACAATGGTCTCGCCAGAATACGTTCACTTTTATTTTGTTCATTTACTTCGACAAGCGTTTATATTCAAAGTGGCTGCTGTTTAGTCTCCTGAATAGTCTCGTTTGCGTTAAATTATGCTTCGCTTTTAGAACAGGCAGATAAGACACCTGATTATTGTTTGCGGCGATAAATCACATTGTGTTACGAGCAGTTTGTAACAGATTTCATGGTTTCGTTTGACACATGTCTTCAAACTTTCTAAATTTCCCGAATTAAGAAACTTCAGGTTCGCAAATTTTTTAATTTCATTACTTAGGAATTTAAAAATATAAAATGTTCAAGTTTTCATATTTATAAATTTTTTATCGTTTCAATTTTTAATTTAAAAATTTCAAATTTACAAATTTTTAAATTTTAGAACTTCCAATTTTTCAAATTTAGAAATTTGATATTTTGATAAAATAAAAATTTAGAAATTTGGGAAGTTTAAATTAAAAAAAAAAAAAAATTGGAAAGTTAACAATTTTTATATTTGAAAAATTGGGACATAAAATTGTAAAATGTCAACTACTTTCTAACCTCAACTCTTTGTGAGCCAATGACCATAGCAGTCGAGGCCCAAACAACAAAAATCAAATCAAATCAAATCAACTCTTTGTATCCTCTGTCAGTAAATAAGTGACCGCTTCAATTTTCAGAATTCAATCATCTCGAACAGATCAAATAAAAGATAAACTGTAAGATGAGTTAACGACAAATATTAATCTTCATAAATTTGAGGAAAGAATTTAAACTCGACATTCTTCTTCAATATCGCAATAATTGATCGAAATCAAATTTCATTAGCATACTGTCATAAAATACCGTGCTAAGGTGTTTTCAGTAATGAATTATTTTCCACACATCCGTGTGTAATAAGCATTACTTTCCCCTTTTTTTTTAATTACTCACCACATCGAAGTAAATGACATGAATAATGCAAGACTTCCATAAATTTTTAAACCTGATCAAAAAGCTTGTTCCACAAAAGTGATTATAATAAATGGAAGGAAGTCGATAAAAGAATGCTCAACGACGGCTGATAAAGTGGGTCATCATTGATTGTAAAAAGAAAGATAACCACTTTGCTTTGCTCGACGTTTTAACGATGAATTACCACGATCCTGCTTATGCGTGCACACGAGACAATTATAATTTTACCTGCATAACGCCATTCGACAAATTCGATGAACAATGCGATAATTTTTGTAAATAAAAGTGGAAAGCGTTTGTTACCGTCTAATCGTGTTACAATTTCAGTAGACTACAAAAATACTAAATTATTGATTGAACATTGAATTACAAAGTTGCAGAAATTTAACTTTATCTTAACTCAAATTTCAAACATTCAATATTAAATTATTTTATCAATGCATTATTAGAAATATTTAATATTTGTGTTACTATATATATTCAATATTTTTATTACAATATATATTCAATATTTATCTTTATATTATATATTCAATATTTGTCTTTACATTATATATTCAATATTAATCTTCATATTATAAAACAATATTCCAATATTTATAAATTAAGCACTGTATATACTCATAATTTAAATAATTTCAAGGAAATGAAAGCAGGTCGTTGGATAGATTTAGATTTGAAAGGTAGACATAATTATTATTGCCGACTGTAACTATACATATACTCTGCATAACTATGAAATCTGTATAAAAGATAATGGTTCGTGTTCATCACGATTCACGTTACTTTAATAGCACGCAATCTTTCTAATATGCGAGTATCGTGAACTGAGTTCGCGTTTTTTCACCGTCTTTTTGATTTTTAATCAAATGTATCGTAATATCAAGGGTCGCAACGTTATTTACTTTGCTTTGTACACTATTTTCGCGTGACGCTTTCCGAGAGCTATAAAACATGTGACAATGTACAGGAAGCGATTTTTTAAAATTATTTTACCAATAATACAATGCAAAATTCTTAGCACCATCCAGCAGAAATTCTATCTGTAAAAATATTGATATCTTAAATGTACAAAAATACAAAAAAACAAGGTTATTTATAAAAAAGGTTTCTATCATTTTACTATTTACAAAATATACAAACAATGTATATACAAACTTATGATTCTATGGATAAATTTTCCATGAAAGACGATAAGTCAAATGTGTCTGCATTATTTAGTAACTTTCTTGAGGATACTTGTTCGTTCAAAGTTGTGGCAGCTGTTTGTAATTTACTCTTCCATTTAACACTGTCATTTTCATTTACGGCACATATTATAATTTCGTTCACTTCATCTTGCACAGAATAACATGCCATGGACTTAAATACAGACTTCAGATCACTTTTCACTTTCTTCTTTATATTTTGATCTCGACTAACCAAATTCAGAACGAAAAGACCATCTTCCATTAAACAATCAGCCACTGATTTGATAATAGATGATTCTAAGAACTGTTTGGGCGGACAACTTATTCCGACCGTAGTATCTTTACTGTCTACGTCGAAAAGTACAGCTTTGTATTTTCTACCGTTCGCCGCATTGTCTTTGACAAATTGAATTCCGTCTGCGATTTCAACATTCATTCTGTTGTCGAGAATGAGACCGAAGTAGTCGGTGGCGATTTTCAACATTGCATTGTCAATTTCGACTACAACTATCTTTAACTGAAAAATATAAAAATTTTATTTAATATTCTAATAATTCTTTTAGTAATATAAAATACATTAATATGCATACTTTAGGAAAACAGTTATACAAAAATGTACACAGGCTTCCTCCACCTAATCCTACAATCATGATCTCATCAGATTCTTTAGGTTTTATGGCAGCAGTAACACCGATACTCATGTACAGGTGATGATCACATGCCAGGAATCCAGGATCAATAACTTTTTTCATTTTACCTCGCCTAGACTTGGCTGAAAGAAATCTCACATATAAATCAGATCATTGAAATCATTAAATATTAATAAGACAATGTATACCTTGCTTAAGACGAGCTTCACTTTGAATTACATAAGGATTATTTAAAAATACTAATCTTCTAAATTCACAACCATCCCTTTCAATCTCTTCCACAACAAAAGGACCACTTAGATCACTTTTTCCTTCGTAACATGTTGTTCTAACTCCTACATCCGAACCCAACGACAGAAACGGAATATTTTTACCGGATAAACCATCGGGGGCTAAATTTAAAATGCATTCTTCGAGTTCACTTTTTACAGCATCCCAACTTTCAAACTTATGTTCTCTGCGTAATGTAACAATTGCAAGTCTGTCTTGTTGAGCACTTTTTAGAACTTGTTGTCTTCCTTCTTTTGTACTGAATAACCAATCTGTTTCTCTAACAAAGAAGGAATCATTTACTTAATTTTTTTCTTGATATTAAATATTTATCTAGAATCAATGTAACTTACTTTCCTTGCGGTACTATGAACGCTGCGTAACTTTTTGTGCCACGAATTCTAGGCTGGTCTAACACGTAGACCGTATAACGTGGATGTTTATTGTCTGGATAATGTAAATCTAATGAGATTTCCCCTATGTCAGCCACACTACGCTTTTGAAGGCTATTGCAGATTAGCGCAGACTGTTGTACCGATAATATGGCTGACACCATATCATCCATAGATGACAATCTCTTTGGAGGACCATCAATTAATGCTACTTCTAATACCTAATAAGACATTCATTTTGAATTATATATTGTTAAAAATAATATGGAGTAAGAAAATATCAAATTCATGTTATTATTAATGTAATGCTATTAGTGTAGTTGCTATTAATATAGTGCTCACAGTTTGAGGTGAATTAATAAATTTTGTAGCAATCACTGCAAAGACTGGAATTGAACTTCCTTCATCTATTCGTGCTTTTGCTTCAGCCTCGTGACAACGCACTACACGAAACATAAATCCAGCTTTTGGAAAATAAGATAACAGTTTTTTCAAAATATGTTCCTGGAGTAATGAAATACAAATGTATCTACCACCATTGCGTAAAACCCTTGAAATTTCCTACAAAATTATATTACATTATACAGATATCTACTAAAGTATATTTGCTTCAGTATTTAGTACTTATAATGCAATGCACATAAGCTTACCTTAAAATATTTATTAATGATAGTTAATGTCTCTTCTTTGGTATCTGGCATAAGAGCATCTAAAGTACCTTTATCCAATATAACACTAAATGTATCATCCGAATATGACAACTGTGTAGCATCCATTTGTTCGTAAACTAAGTCAGGTCTCACAGATGCATTAATATCACGCATTTGTTTAATAACAATATGTGATATATCAATATTAGTAATATTTCTACAGTTAGAAAAAAGTTATATATTAAGATACATGAACAAACAGTGTAATAACTCATGACTAAATTTTGGGTGTTTATGCACTTATGATATACCAAAATCATCATAATATTTATCTTGTTAAACTGGAGGGTATACTATTACAATATTAAATGAATTGTTATAATTTAAATATGAAAAATAAAAAAAAAATGTTTAAGAGTTACATACCTGTAACCCACATCATATAAACACATACTAACGGTAGAATTACCACAACCAACAATTAAAATATTATCTTTTATTTTTATGTATTTTAAAAGTATTCCACATAATTCTGGATATTCACCATACCTAACCGAAAAGTATGAACAATAATTAATACCATAAATTTACATTTATTAATAAATACACCAGAACATACCATTCAAAATGTTTTTTACCACGCTTCTTGAAAAATGTGTTCCAATATTCAACTTGGCTAAATTCTTCGTGTGTTTTTGGCAATAAATTCATTGCTTCTATTTTCTAAACTTAATTTTTATAACATCAACTTGTTTATATTTGCTACTGCTATTCTTGCAGAATTAGGATTATGTTAGGTTATTACTAACCATACTATATAAATCATAAGAACATATGTAACATTATCTAATTTTGTACTATGTTTTAACTTAAAATTCTATTAACGTTAAGTGATATTTGATGATAATATCACTTTGTACTATAATAATATGAACAGTAATACGTTACTGTATACGAATATTATTTACAGGCTGTAAATGTGCCGAACTATACAATATACAGGGTGTCAAATTTAAATCAATTTCTTCGCATATGTATAAAACTTGATAATAAGACTTCCAAATTGTGTTCATCATATTGTTTCTTCAGTGACAAATAAGAACTACTATGTACACATTATTAAAGAAAAAATCTCTATCAACTTTTATTTTTCATTTGAAGTTTTAACAATATAAATTTACACGGATATCTTTCTTGTTTATGAAAATATGAAACAAGAAACAAAACTTGTAACATGTCAATTTATTACAAACAAAGTCAATACATTAGTATGTACAACTACTCCAATACATTTAATATATATATGTACATTATGTATAAATAATACTCACACACATTCATAACTCACATTCATGTATGTCATTGATACAAAAGCTTTTCCTATGTGAATATATAAATATAAACAATGTTGTTGTTTCTTTTATCAACTGATAGTGAAATACAAACAAGGTCTTAGAGTATTTTCAATTAAAAAATACATGCACAGCCTAAAACAAGAAGCAACTTAATTTATTCTATCACCATGGAAAATACTGATTTCTGTATGTATTATTTATTCGAATCAATTTCACTTTAGAATTTTTAGTTATGAAACTGGTTTAATTTTTTTTTCCTGTATAAATCTTTATTTTCAGTTTTCACGTAAAAGTAACATCTTCAGAAGTATAAATAAGTGCATACATTGCACACTTTGATTTACTTATAGTATACTTGTTTATACATAATTATTATCTATTAAAATACAAAATTTATAATATCCATGACTGCTTAATATTAAACACAACTTTATATTTTTTATTATACCAAAATATGATTCTATAAAAGCAGTATTATTCGAAATATTTAAAAATTATTTTTGGTGGATACTGAGTTTATTTCGGTCCATTCTATTAAATTATGTTGCATAAAATTTTATGTGTTAACATTATATATTTCTATATACTATGTATATATTACAATTAGGAAAAAGAATATTATATAGCTTTATGGTTCTAAATAAACTCTGTATCTTCCACACAAACAGATAGAAAGTAATTAATAAAAATGAAATTAAAAATCATTTCATTAAAAGATATTTTAAATATTTATCCACTACTATAATTTGTGACTGCATTATGTATGATATAAATTAATACATCTATACTATTCAAACAAATTTTATAATTCTAGATACAAAAGAAAATTTAATTGAATACTAGTTAGTACTTTCAATACAATTTATTTTCCTCTCTATCTGGATATCATAAATTATTTGCAAGAATAATATACTCCTATTTCTTGCTTCTGCAAAAGATGTAATTAAATCCTATTTATTTTCATTATCTACTAAAAAGATTTTCTTTTCTTTTTTCAACAAATTAAATTTGTTATGTAGTTTTCAACAAACTGTACAATTAAAATTTAAAATTCTAATTCACTCAAAAAATTGATAATAATTCTTAGAACAAAGTGCAGTATACTCCAAAATACTGTAGTATACTGGGAGAAGAATAACTGCACTTTTATATTAAAAAACAGTATCACTTGAATGAAGAATGATTATTGGAAAATTAGAAAAAGATTACTGTCATGAGTATGCAGTGAAAAAACTAAGTAAAGAATGATGTCAGTCTCAGCATCTATGCTGCATCAATGATCATTATAATCTTTCAACTAGTAATAAGACTGAGGAGTTTGAACAGCGCATTGTTAATTGTATTTAAACTGGTGATGGGTAATGGCCCCAGAATCACATGTCTTTAGTCAAACAATATTTTATTTAGTTAGTGATCTAAAGTAAAATACATGAAAATTAATGAAATAAATATTTAAAATACCAAAGCTAAAAGAAATATTCTTTTCTAAGCTCAAAGAAGAATACGTGTAATAAAAATCATAATAGAAATATGAAAAAACCATAGATGACAAAAAATTATTTAAAAAATCAATCAGCTATGTGACTAGAATTAAATCCAGACTTAAACAGAAGAATCTAAGAAATGATGAAACAGAAGATAAAAACTATTTATATAATAAGTCATGCATGTTATTAATTTTAAATTTCGAAGATTAAACAATATGTATCAAAATATTTAGTCAAGATGATAAAATGTATCTAACAGTTCAACATAATGAGTGATATTTTAAGAAGTTCTAACCCATCACCAATATTTCATTTTAATCTGTAATGAATTCTATCTTTGAATGTTTACATATTTTATATTTAACAAAATATGAACCCTTAATACACATATAATGTGTTTCAAAAACGTTCATTTTAAATCGATCAAATTCTCTGGCAGTTAAACGCTTTATTTTTAATATTTATATTATTTACCTTAAACATTAAACTACTGAATCACTTCATAATATAATCCATGGTGAAAGAACTATGAAATGGAACATATATAATAAAATTGTTTGCTTATATTACTTTCAATTGAATATAAACTGATGTTTGTTGATTTAAGTATTGTCACTTTAGCAATAAATGATTCGTTTCAACAATTTCATTCGTAAAATTGTAAAAACAATTATGAAGCTAATAATTTTATTGCTTGAATGGGCACAACATCCAAATTGGGCATATATTATGCTATATGCATGTTTTAAAAAATAAGGCAAAAACAAGTATTTGGTTTAACATTGGTATTCGTTAAAAAGTATCATCTATGATATGAAAGAATAGTAGTAGCCCAAAGAAGCCGTTGCCAAATCCAACGTGGTACTCTGCATGGTCCAAGACTAGCCATTGCACTGGCTATGTGACGCAACCAATCCCAGATACCCCACGGTGCATGTCCCCCATTAACATACAAAACGTATGTAAAACCACCTTTACATTTACCATGAATTAAATAATAATATGGTAGAAAACTATGTAATCGAAAATGACATCTCTGGTAAAACAAAATAGCTGGGGCATTGCTGGACAAAACATGCAGGAAGACTGCTTTTACGGAAGAACGTTCTGGAGCAGTAACGTGTGCTAATAATTGTTCCAATAATAATGAAGCAATTCCATTTCTTCTATATGCACGACGCACACCTAAGCTAAGGATATAACCCACTAAACAATCATTTCCTAAACTTGAACACAAAATACCACGATCTTCTGTGTTCAATTTGGCATAAGGCTTTATCTCTGCGACAATAAGTCCAATTATTACTCCACCATATACAGCTGCAAGTGCATAAAACCGTGAGGAACTTGTTATATCTTCATACCATGAATAAGGATAATCTATGGCAAAATAAATTAATACTTTAACATCAATATTAATGCAGACTTTAATATAAAATAAATGGTTCATAAAAGTAACATGCAATTACATGTACTGTAAAATTTGGAGTAATCTTTTATTATCTACTAAAACAATTTATGATACTCATACTAATTAATCCTTTATGGTTCAATCAAAGTCATTGATGATTCTTCTCCCTCTTCTTCCTTATGTTTTTATAAATGTACACATATGTACAATATATACAATTTTGATATAATAAGTTATATTTATAATACACATACAATTGTGTGTCTTTATTTTACATATTTCATATTAAGAGTGTATATATCATAATTAACATGTTCATCAATGTGTGATGAGGTTTGTAGATAGCCAGTCATGCATTAGCACTTAATGGATTTATGTTCAATTAAAGGAAGACCCTTAATAATGGACTTGATTTATGAATAGTCCATGAACATGTTAAATATATATACATATGTACCCTATAATAAATAAAAGCTATAATAAACAAGGTTTATAAATAAATTAGTTCATTATACAATACCCTATTGCATATGTAAAATAAGTATTATGAAACAATATTCATATTAACGTATAAATTACAAAACTATTATTGCACTTTGCATTTAAATTATAATTAATTTAGTAATGATCTTATATTACAATTAAAATATTCAATTAAAGCATCTCCTCTGTATTATGTTTACACACTTCATCTTATTGAAATTAAAATTTTATAATCAGCTTAATTGAATACAGAGTCCAAATAATACCGAGGACTAGCAAGCCTCGTATTAATTAAATTTGGAAGCAGTAAATAGAGAACCAGAAAGGATTAATTACATATGAAAAGTAACATAATTATTTTTCACAAGCTATCATTTGTTTAAACTTGGTGGGAAAAACATTCATACCAATTGGAAACCAATCCTGACAGAGTGCCCGTACTTCCTCCAAATCATCTGGGCAAAGGAAACGTAACTGGACATCACCCAGGACACATAAGGGAACAGTTGCCGGTATCACGGAGGTTTTTTGTTCATTAGACAAATTTCTTGTAGTATTTTCATCCGTATATTTATGTTTATTTTCTTGTGATACTTTAAACTCACTTTTTTCAATTTCCGGTAAAATAAGATACCGATTAAACGATACGGCCATCACGCCACAGCTTTACTATCATTTCATCAATCATTTCTTGAACAATGTCAAGCATGTCACGTTGCATGTAAACGTTTGCTAGTAAACATATTGAGAGCCGTAGACATTTTGTCCCCCTCTATCATCCTGTGTCTTTATCGCTCGTTAGCTATTTCCTTTATCCCCTCTTTGTTCATCCTCTTACACCACTCGTATCTAATATATAGAGGATTCAACACAATCTCAAAAATACTATTGCGACATAAGTTTTGAAATTTTTGTACACTATAAGTAGACAATCTGATGCATCGTTCGGTTTATCTTATAAAAATATATAAGGTATACCTTCTAATTATAAATCAACTCTGAACTTTTTATAAGAATAAAAACTATAGTCTAGAATTGTAAAAAAATTAAGTTTTCACCTGTATCAATTTTAATTTTATGATTGTGATTGTTCACATAGCTTTTTTACTACTTCCTTAAATATAAGAGCAGGGAGTTTTGATTAATATTTTATTTATTACAATTAATTATGTATAGTAAACAAAGTAATGATCAAATAGGTTTGAATATATACAATGTTTATAATTCAATTTTGCTTTGTCAACATAATATTTTGTCATATCATAAAACATTTCTTTTTTATTATTTTTTATTTTTCATGACAGTGTATAAAAAGGTTTTTATAGTAATAAAATAAGTGAGATTATAAAGCATTCAATGAGGGAGGGAATGAGCAAGCGACATTTCCTTCTGCGCATGTTGACCGAGTTTGGTTCTACATACTCTATAATCTATGATAACGCAGAAACTGATACCGAAAGTATACATACCCAGCAGACAGAAAGTTTTAACTTAATACATTTTGAAGTGATTAAAAATTCTGTAAATAAAAGTTGAGAAATATTTATAAGTTTTACAAATAATTAACAAAATGTATGTTGTTGACTGAATGAACAAAAGCAACTTTGATAAAAAAAATATATACATTAAAATATATACATTACTTTTATATATACTATTATAAATATTTATAATATTAATGTACCATTACTTAAGTATATTAACAAAGTTGAGTATAGAAATCTTACGCGTATTTGAAAATTTATATTTTCGCGCGCAACGTTCGAAAATGGCGGTGAATCTGGCGGTCGAGTACGAATTTATCGAAACGAAAAATTGTATTTTTCTATAAAATTAGACTTTCTTCCACTTATTTGACACTCGTAAAATGTTTTATATGCAAGATGAAGTCAAAAATCAGTTTTAAAAATTGCATTTCATGGCCTTTAAAATGCTGAGCTATTTAGCGGTGAAAGGTGGGAACTAATGGAAAAAATTTTATTGACGCTATCGACATGTTAATATTATTTGATAATAGTTTAGTAAAATCAAAACAATTCGAGGTTAAGTAGACTTGCACTCCAATGTAATTTGATTCATATTGTAGTCGATTAGTCTAATAAAATCAACTATATGATTGAAGAATGGTCAGCACTGCATTATTTACATGTTTCGATTATAAAAGTTCATAAATAATGTTCATAAATAATGTGAAATGAGTAATTAATTATTTTGTGTCAGCATTACGATAGGTACGTGAGCCGCCTATGTCAATTCTACTGCGCATGCAAAATGCAATATTTCGGCACTTTGACGACGTAGTACGGTTCCTGAGGCATTTAGAAACAAATTTCTATTAGGGTTTGATGCGTTTTGATGCCTAATAAAGCCAGGAAATCAATTTTTGTCGCATTTGGTCCAAAACGGTACAGGTGGCGCCATCTAGCGGCGAGCGGCGGAACTACGAAAGCCTAAAATTTCGATTTTCTCGAAAACTAGGCACTTTTTGGAAACTCTGAGATATACAAATTGTTCCTTGTCGCCTACGGAATCGAACGAATCTAATTATATCCCGCTAGGGCCATTATTAAAGAAAATAGAAAAATAACCCATTTCATGAACTAAAAAATTGACGTCCATCTAGCGGTGAAAGTTGGAACTACAAGAAAGTTGGAACTACAAAAATAGAAAATCTCGATTTTCTCGAAAACTAGGCACTTTTTCGAAATTCTGAGATATACAAATTATTCCTTGTGGCCTCAGGAATAGAACGAATCTAATTATAGCCCGCTAGGAGCATTATTAAAGAAAATAGAAAAATAGTCGAAAACATGGACTCAAAAATTGGCGTCCATCTAGCGGTGAAAGTTGGAACTACAAAAATA